CAAACCCACCAGCTCTAGTGTATGTGGCTGGTGCCTTAGCTGCTTGAGCTACAGGTGCTGAGCCCCGCCTTTCCTTCTATTCAGGCCTTTAACTGATTGTACAGGCCCATCTGCATTCTGGAGGGCAGTCTGCTTTACTCAAAACCCACTGATTTAGATGTTAATCTCACCCCCAAACACCCTCACAGACACATACAGAGTGTTTTCACAAATGCCCAGCCAAGGTGACACATAACATCAACTGTCACACTCCTGGATGGGTATTTTGTTAGTTACAGACCAAAGACTTCCCAACTCACACCCAAAGTTCTAAAGATGGCCCAGGCAGCAAATCAGACATAGCTGAAGAGGGAATATGTAAACTAGAAGGTAATTGCAGCACATAATCCACATCTTTAATTTGATTTCAACACCACTTGGAGTCTGATGTTTACCCTCTTTTCCTATCCTATACCTCTCAGGCCTTCCTCAGCTCACCACGCACTGACTTTCTTTCCATCTCCTAAACACATGGAGGCCTTTCCCCTGCCCAGCCCTTGCACCTTTTGAGTCCCCACATGAAATGCTCCTCCCTGAGCCTGACGGGTGGCCACCCTTGAGTCCTCACTCTGTGTCCCTGGTACCTAAATACTCCTACAACACATCACCATCACAGCTGCCTTCTGCAAGGATCTCAGAACCCTTTAATTCAGACCATCATGTGCCATTGCTGTCCAGCACTCCATGAAGTCCTTTGAAACCTCACATATCAGACATTTTTATGATTTTATTTTATTTTTGTTTTTTTAGAGATAAGGTCTCATTCTTGCTTAGGCTGGTCTTGAACTCTTGAGCTCAAGCGATCCACCCACTTTGGCCTCCCACAGTGTTGAGATTACAGGTGTGAGCTGCTTCATGGGCTCATTTTTATGATTTTAAAAGACAATGTGAATTTGGATTTCACTTCTTGGCCAGTTTCTTTGCCCACTCTTCTTGCATTCTAGGCTTTTTTTCTGCAATAAGTTTTCTTCTCGAAGTACACTCTTTTGAATATTCATTATTAAAAGGCTGTTAATGGTAAACTCTCTCAACTTCTCTGAATTGTATTCATCTGAAAGGACTTACTTACCTAAATGTCAAAAAATTAATTGATACATAATAATTGTATGTGCTTATAAGGTGTGATGTGATGTTTTGATATACGAGTTCAGACATTTAAGTCCTTGCACTCATCCTAGAAAAAAATGCTGCATACTCTTTGCTTTGAAGTGCTCCTGTGGCCAGCTGGTGACCGTAGTGATTATTCAGCAATGAGGTACGGAGACATCTTGAATTACATTATTATGAACTATAGTGACCGCACTGTGCAAAAGATCTCAAAAGCATGTTTCTACAATGCACCCATTACCTCACATCTAACCACCACACTACTCTCTGTTCCTGTGAGTTCAGCCTGTCTAGATCCCACAGGCGAGTGAGAATTCCAGGAACTTGTCTTTCTGTGTCTGGCTTATTTCATTTAGCATAACATCCTCCAGGTTCATTTCATCCATGTTGTCGAAAATAACAGATTCTTCTTTTTTTTCTCCTTTCTTCTGCCTCTTTCTCTTCTTCCTTTTCTCCCGCTCTTTGACTGGGTCTAGCTCAGTTGCCCTGGCTAGAGGGCAGTGACATCACAGCAACCTCAAACTCCTGAGTCCAAGTGATCCTCCTGTCTCAGGCTCCTGAGTAGCTGGAGCTACAGGTGCCTGCCACCATGCCTGGCTAGTTTTTCTATTTTTCATAGAGATGGTGTCTTGTTCTTACTCAGGTTGGTCTTGAACTCCTGGCCTTAAGCAATCCTCCTGACTTGGCCTCCCAAAGTGCTAGGATTATAGGCATGAGCCAACATCCCAAATAGAATTTTCTTCTTTTTAAAGGCTAAGTAGTATTCCATTATACACACATCTCACATTTTCCTTATCCATTCATCCACTGATGGATTCTCAGGTTGATCTCACTCTGTTTCCTGGGCTAGAATGCAGTGGTGTCAGGGAACTCACTGCAAACCCAGACTCCTGGACTTAAGCCATCCTTTTGCCTCAGCCTCCCAGAGTGTTAGGATTTTAAGCATGATCCACCACACCTGGCCTAAACTGTCTTGCTGTATGTTGTGCTTCTCTGTGAATATTAAATACTTATCTTTCATAAGTTCTGATATACTTTCGGGCATAATCTCTTCAACTACTGGCACTCTTTCCTTTAGCATTTCAACCAGACTTCCATTAGCTCACTGCACACTTACGTTTCTTTTATTTTTTCTTTTCCTTTTTTTTGGTGTGTGTGTGTGTGTGACAGGGACTCACTCTGTTGCCTCGGCTAGAGTCCAGTGGTGTCGTCATAGCTCACAGCAACCTCAGACTCCTGATCCCAAGTGATCCTCCCACCTTGGCCTCCCAAAGTGCTAGGATTACAGGCATGAGCCACTATGTCCAGCCTCGTTTATATTTCTTAACTTCTCTTTCCTCTTTTTCTATCTTCTTATCCCTTGTGCTACATTCTAACAGTATCTTTAGATTTACCTTCTAGTTTACATATCCCCTCTTCAGCTAGGTCTAATTTGCTGCCTGAGCCATCTGCTGACCATTTTTTACAACAGCTTTATTGAGATATAAGTCACATAAGTACAATGTATCCCATTCAAGTATACCAGTGACTTTTTGATATTCACAGAGTCGTGCAACCATCATCACTATTTTTAGAATATTTTCATCATCCAAAATGATTTTTATCACTTCATTTATTAATGGTGCCCATTATCAGCTACGTCCCATTCCTCACTTTCCCCAGCACCAGGCAACGATGAATCTATATTCTATGTCTCTTTGTATGTTCTATTATGTAAATTTAATTAAAAAACTATATTATATGTGTGGGTTTTTTGTGAATCTTTTAAAGTTTTTGCTGACCTTTTAATTTCAATGAAAGGTTTTCCATTTCTAGAGATTCCATTTTTTTTCTTTGAGACAGTCTCAAGCTGTCACCCCGAGTAGAGTGCCATTGTGTCACAGCTCATGGCAACCTCTAACTCTTGGGGTCAAGTGAACCTCTTGCCTCAGTTTTTCTATTTTTAGTAGAGACGGGGGTCTCACTTTTGCTCAGGCTGGTCTTGAACTCCTGAGCTCAAGCAATCCACCCATCTTGGCCTCCCAGAGTGCTAGGATTCCAGGCATGAGCACTGGGCCTGGCATAGAGATTCTATTTTTTTCCAGATATGCATGATGTTCAGTTTGATGGAGTCTTCTTCCTTATTTTAATATACCCTAAACATATTGAAAGTTAATTTTATATTTTATATCTGATGCCTTCAATTTAGAAAGTTTGTGGAAATTTTAATATGTTGCTGGACATTGTTTCTGCTAAGTCTTACTCTGGAGGCACTTCTTCGGATATTTGCTGAGTTTTGATTTTGAGTTCATTTTTGGTTCAGTTAAATTTATGAGAACCCCAGGCCCTAAGATGGGGGTTGCTTTTGTCTGAGAAGACTCACCACTGGCTCTGCTTGTGTGTGCAGGGTGCTCCTCACCTGGAACCACCCTTGTTCTCTTGGAGGTCTCAGTTCCCTGTGAGTCTCCCAGTTGCCCTGTAGGGCTCAACCCTCCTTTCTTTCCACCTGCACATTTTGGGTGGGTGTTGCAAATGCTCCCCCAAGCCCCAGCCTCATTGGTGTGTTCCAGCATAAATTCCAATGACCCGTGTCTGAATCTCTGCACCAGAGGGAAGTTATTGTTCCTGTCTTGTGTGGGTGGCAAGTGGAAAGTGTTGGAGAATGAACCCCCAGAGCAGCCCTCTATCAATGTCTCTCGGCAGCTACTGTAAAAATACCTCAGTTCCTTCATCCCCTGGGTGAGATCAGTCCCAGGCTCACATTTTGAACCATTAGCCAAGTCTCTCTGTGAGACCAGGCTACAGTCCCCCCCACCCCCCAGTTCACTCAGTACACACCTCCCCTGGTTTCCTCCCAGGACTGCTCCCATCATCACCAATGAAAGCCTTGGCCTCAACCCTTGCTTCAGGCTTTGCTTCTGGGAGTATGCACACTCAGATCTGGGACTTGGGACCTTGCACAGGTCCAGGCTGTGCCCAGGATCCCTTTGGCTTCCACACCTGCCTCCTACTCAGCAGACAGGTTTTGGGGTTCTGTGATCTTATTTATGTATTGATTTCTTTTACTTTCTTGAGTACTCTGCAATGCTTTGAAAAGAATTGTGTTTGAGCCATGATCCAGTTCTTGCCCTCTACACCTTACCAGGTCTCAGCTTTCCCTGATCCAAATGCAAACCTGGGTCCTTTTATGCCGTCCTCTTCTCCACCTCTTCCTCTGCCTTTCACTCAGCAGCAGCTGCACGTGCAGCGGTGAGGTGCAAAGGCTCTGGGGCCACACTGCTTGGGTCCCACCACTAGCCATGTCACCAGGTCACTGGGGGACCCGGAGCAGGGAGCTCAGTCTCTCTGTGCATGGTCTCCCCATCTGCAGAATGGAAACAGTATCCGCACAGAAGGGCCGTTGTGAGGCTGTAACCAGACCACACACATGAAGTGTTTATGTGTAGTCTGTGCTCAGCAAAGGGCAGCTATGATCGTCGTATCAGTGACCACCATGTGTCGTGTAAGAGGAGGCAGAAACTTCATCTTCTAGTGCCTGGCCCAGGGCCCAGAAGTGCCAGGCCAGCAGTTCTTGGTCCAGTGAATGAAGGCAGGACGATTCCAACAAAGGCAGACTGCACCTTACCCAGCGCCCACAGAGGCGGTTCTGGGCACAGGGGACCGCTGGTGCGGAGGCACTGCTGTGGGGTAGGGTGCAAGGCGAAGAGGAAGCTGAGAAACTGCGCCAAAGAAGCCTTGAATGCCCTGGCCAGGGTTTGGGTCTCACCCCCTGGGTGTGAATGTCGTTGGATACAAAAGTCCCTGGGGGTACAGCGTCTGCTGGGGTCTTGGGGGAGGGGAGGGCCCGGGTTGGAAGTCTGTTACCGGAGGCGTGTGAACTGGGACCTGAGCGGAGCATCTCGGCTCTTACCTCCTTCGCTCCCTGCGTCTTTGTGCATTTTGCTTCTTTTCGCCGTAAACGTTCTTGTGAGAAATTCCAAGGGGAATCTCAGCCGAGCAGAGGAGGGGCGGGCTCCTGCCCACACCTGGGTGGGGGACGCGGAGGTGGGGGAGGAGTGCGGGGGTGGGCAGTGGCTGCAGGAGCCGGAGTTTAGGAGGGCGTGCGCGCGAGCGAGGGGCGCAGGAAGGCCCGGGCCAGCGATCTGCCCGGGTCTCCGAGCCCCGGTGCCCCCGCCCCTCGCGTCTCTGCCGCCCCCGCCCTCCGCAAGGCCCCCGCCCCGGCTCCGCCCCGCCCCTCGCGTGGGGTCCGCGTCTGCGGCTGCGTTCCCCGAAAGACGAGGCTGCGCCCGGGTTCCGGTCCGCAGGGAGACCGAAGGGCACCGCTCCTGCGCCGCGCGCGCCGCCAGAGCCCGGAGTGCGGACCCCCCCGGGATGTGAGTGCGCCCCCCGACCCCGAGGCCCGCGCTCCACGCTCCGATCCGCGGTGAGCGCCGAGGCGCGCGCGCGCGAGAGGCCTGGGAGGGGACTCGGTGCGGGGTTCCCGGCCCCCCAGTCCAGGGGTGGGGGCGGGGACGTGGCGCGCACCCCTCCCGTCGTCGGCAGGTGCTGCGGTCTCCTACCTTCTGCTGCCCTTTGCAGTCCGGACGCGCCCACAGCTCCCCAGGGAGGAGAAGACACCCCCTCACACAGGTGCCTGGCGCGGGGAGGGGGCGCCTCTGGCTGTCGCCTCTCTAGAGAAGGCAGACCTTTCCTCCCGGCGGGGACGCCAGTGATGGTGGACGCTGTGGGAGACGGGCTGGGGGTGGGGCTTTGCGAGCTCTAGGGCGACCCAGGCCCTGGATTCCGCCGGGAAGGTTGCGTCCTGAGGCAAGAAACGGGAGGTCGTGAGGCTCCTGACCGAGGCTTCTCTCCACCAGGCCTGCGCCCCAGAGGACCCCCTCCCGCAGCCCCCACATCGCGCACAGGCCCGCCCGGAGCATGCTGCCTGCAGCCATGAAGGGGCTCGGTCTGGCACTGCTGGCCGTCCTGCTGTGCTCCGCGCCCGGTGAGTGGGGGGCCCGCGGGGATGGATCGGGTCCCCCCAATGGAGAGAACGAGGCTGGTGCTCCGGAAGGAGGGGCTGTGAGGTCGCCGTCCTCCGACTGTTCCCACTACGCTTCCCAGAAAGCCCACCTCCCCTTCTGGACCCCGGGACCCCAGGCCAGCCCCTGCCTGCTCCCATCTGGTCACGCCGGCCTCTCCCAGCATCGGAGGGCATCTAGCACCGAGCACTTTTCCTCCTAGGCCTCGTGCAGTGGGTGACCCGTCCTGCATGGGTGCCTACACTTGCCAGGGGAGGGCCGGGATTCTGACCCGCATCACTTTTCAGAGCCCCACCCAGGCTCCCGTAGAATAGTTTGGCCCTTCATGGCTTGGAACCCACAGAACTTTAGGGGTGTGAGGTGGGGTAGGACTGTGCAGGAGGCACTGTAGGTGTGGTATGTGTGGCCAAGTGTGTAACTCTGCATGGGTGTGTGGGGCTGAGGAGGGGCTGTAGGACTCCCCAAGTCCAGGATTGGGCCCTCCTGAAACTTGCAGGGAGGAGCAGGGGTTGGCCCAGAGGTCAGTCTGGCCCACCCAGTCCTGGGGGTGGGAGTCTGAGCCTCCTCAGCCAGGGTTCTGCCAGGACAACCTGCAGCTGGCCTCTGGTCATCCTCCTCCTGGTGCCCTGCCCAGCTCATGGCCTGTGGTGCCAGGACTGCACCTTGACCACCAACTCCAGCCATTGCACCCCGAAGCAGTGCCAGTCATCGGACACAGTGTGTGCCAGTGTCCGGATCACTGATCCCAGCAGCAGTAAGTCGGGACCCCAGGTGGAGAGGGGCTGCTGAGAGCCAGGCTCCTGGGAGAGGTCGGAGCCTGGGAGAGGTCGGAAGTCTTCTCTGAGCCCCTCTGGCTTGGGAGAAGAGCATGGGTGTGCTGTAGGATGGTGCCCTGCTGTGTGGCCTTGGTAGCCCTATCTGTGTAGCTGTGGCCAGCATGGGTGGGTCAAGGGCTGCCCTGGGCTGGATCCTCATGGGTGCAGGGCAGAGAGGGCTGGGCCCCCCTTCCCAGGCCTTAACTTTCTTTCTCCCAGGCAGGAAGGACCATTCTGTGAACAAGATGTGTGCCTCTTCCTGTGACTTCGTGAAGCGACACTTTTTCTCAGACTATCTAATGGGGTTTATTAACTCTGGGATCTTAAAAGTCGACGTGGACTGCTGTGAGAAGGATTTGTGCAATGGGGTGGCTGGGGTAGAGCGCAGCCCCTGGGCCCTGGCAGGGAGCCTCCTGCTTAGCCTGGGGCCTGCCCTGCTCTGGGCTGGGCCCTGAGGTCTGTTCCTTTCTAGGATCTTCTCAGCTCATTCCTTGAGCTTGTCACTGCTCCCTCCCCAGCCTCTCCTGGCCGGGGCTGGGGGCAGTCTCAGCCCAGCTCGGTGGCCTGTGGCTCTCACCCCACCCCAGCCATGAGACCTCCCTGTCTGTCCATTAGCTCTGAGTGCCAGGCAGCTGGACATCCCCAGGAAGCCTGGCATCTGGGCAGAGGGCAGGGGATTGGGACCCTCAGGTCCTAGAGGGGAGGTTAACCCCAGCTAGGCATAGCCCAACAGCCTGGCTGAAAGGCTACCTTCTATAGAGAAATAAAGTCTTCTGAGTCCTGACACCTGGGTCTGAGCCTGGGGGTGGGGGTCCTGGCAGATAGTAGGAAGTGATGGGAGAGCAGAGATAGTGGACTGGGGGCTCATCCATGCTACTGAGGCTGCCCAGCTCATGGCCTGTGCTGCCAGTTACGCACTTGGACACACCGGGTGCTGGGTGGGTGTGCGCAGCTGCTCCAGCCTGCTGAGATTTGGGAGCCCTTGGTGGGGGGTGAGGGCCAGCGTTGAGATGAATAAGATCACAGGGTGGGCCTGAGGGGCACTGGCACCACGTGCACACACCACTGGTGCCAGACGGTCACACACATGCGTGGCAGCACACACCGAGCCCCCAGAGACAGTCTCGTCACACCTCGTGCACATGCGTGTGCTCAGTCCCACAGGCGTCCTGTGCACACACACCAGAACTTCCACACCTCATGAGCACAGAGACCATGCCTGGTTGCTCTTAGCCCCTGGGGGGTGGTCAGTGCTGGGACAGCTCCCCTGAGCCTCCCTGCCTCTTCACTGGACATCTACCACCGTGGTCAGGGGCTGAGGAAGCCTGTGCCCTGGCCAGGAAGGAGGGTCTGACCAGGCAGCTGCTATAGTCCTCAGTTTCACCTCTGCATCCCTGGTCCAGCCCAGTGTCCTGCACCCCCTGGCCACTGTGCTCTGCACTCCAGCAGCTCGTCTGGATGCCCAGGCTCACCACAACACACCCTAGGGTTTCTCTGGGGCCTGGTCTTTGGCCAGTACTTCCTGGTGCCACCTGTGGCTGCCTTAGACCTGTGGTCACTGCTGGGTCCTGGACTCCTTGGAAGAAAAATGGTTCCTATAGGAGCTGGGCTTGGCATTTGTCCCTGACAGAAATCTGGGGTCATGACCTTCAGCCCTCGTTGGACAGTGGTGTCAACTCCCTGCTGGCGGACACAGCTGAGGGACTTTGACACAGAGAGTCATATTCTCTGTTGCTGTCGCTGTGCTCCAGGCCCTCCCCACCACTGTGCCTCTTTCAGTAACGTGGGCTGTCCCTCATTTGGGTTCTGGGGACTGCAGAGAAGCTTAAGAGTTTGGAAGAGGCTGAAAGCCAGAGCCAGTGAAGACCACAGGCAGAAGAAGCTCCCTTGCTCCCCGAAGCTTGGTGGTTTGGGGAGGACATCCCACTGGGATGAGGTTTGAGCTAGTTTCTACTTAAATATTTGTGGACTTAAATTTGTTACCTGAGGGAAGTATTGAAAAATTAAAAAAAGCAAAATTTTCTCATTTTTAAAAAGAATTATACAAACTCAGACAGGCCACCTTCCACCTTTCCCTCCCCTCCCACTCTGGATGGTGGAGCTTCGAGGGGTGCACGGAGCACCTGGCAGGCCTCCCAACTTGCGGGCTGCCCTCTCCTGTGGGCAGTGGTGCTGGATGGGTGTCACCCTGTCCTTGTTACCAATCTGTTGGGTCAGTATGTCTGGGCTGAGCCCACTCCCTCTGTGTCTGCATGATGCTCCCTGGGGTCAGTACGTCTGGGCTGAGCTCACCTCTTCTGTGCCTGTGTGGTGTTCCCTAAGCAGGCAGACCAACCGTCCCTCATCGGGGGCATCCTATGCGGTCTTCTGTGTTCAGCGACACAAAGTGACCATCCTTGAGCCTGTCTTTGAGGGCACAAGTGGTGGTGTGTGTAGGATGGATTCTGAGAAGGGCTTGCTCATCGAGACAGTGTTTACTTAAAAAGGACAGTGTGGGTTGTAGAAAGTCCATGTCACTTTTCTTCCTCCAAGTCCTCCTGCCTGCACTGGCAGCAGGTGTTACTGGGTGCCAGGGGTCTCTGCCTGTCCTGCCTTCCAGCATCTTCTCTGGCTCTGTGTTTTTCTCGGCACATGCTTCCTCTGACTGTGGCATTCGCCTTTCTCCTACCGATTTGTACTGCCGTTTTGTAGACTGGGGACAGGACCCTTCCCCACGTCAGATGTTCTACAAGAATTTTCCTGAGGGCTATGTCTTGCATCCTTGATTGGGGGGTCTTCGCTGTACCTTCGTGTGTGTCCTAAAGTCTGACGTTGTTGAGTCTAATTGTTCTTTTGTGGTTTGGGGTTTTATATCTTAGGAGGACCTTTTCCACCCCATCTTATGACAACAGGCTCTTGGTTTCCTCCTGCTCTTTTTACAGATTTATCCCTGCAGTCAGGTGTCCAGTCCATCTAGAGCTCATCATAATGTGGTGGGAGGTGGGGAATTCTTACATATGGGCGCCTTTCCTCAATGCCTTTTATTAAATAAGCTGTTGAATGGTCAGGGGCAGTGGCTAACGCTTATAACCCTAGCACTCTGGGAGGCAGAGGTGGGTGGAGTGCCTGAGCTCATGAGTTTCAGACCAGTCTGAGCAAGAGTGAGACCCCATCTCTAAAAATAGCTGGGCGTTGTGGTGGGCACCTGCAGTCCCAGCTACTCGGGAGACTGAGGCAAGAGAATCCCTTAAGCCTGGAGTTTGAAGTTTCTGTGAGTGGTGACGCCACTGCACTCTATTGAGGGTGACAAAGTGAGATTCTGTCTCCAAATAAATAAATAAATAAATAATAAGCTATTGATTTAGTGCTCCGCCTTTAAGGTGGAATGTGTCCCATGTGTCAGGAGCTTCTGAATCGCGACCCATTGGGTTCCCATAGTCAGCGTGTTGCAGGTCAGTTCTCTGCCGTGGTGATGAGACTATGACAGCTTGTAGTAAGTACGCTGGACAGCTGGAGGTAAGTGCCCCTCCTTACTCTCCTTTTGTACAAAGTTGGTGCTTCTCAGGATTTCTTCTCACAGATGAATCTAGGACCCCTTGGCCCAGGTCCAGAGAAACACTGTTAGAATTTCTATTGGTTAATAAAAAAAAAAAAAGAGAGAGAGAAAGTAATGAAAGAAAACAAACATAAACAGAAAAATAAACTGTGTTGACAGGTTGGAAGAAAAAAAAGAATTTCTATTGGGACATCACCCATGTGGGTGTGGTGTTGAGGAGAGTTGACATTTTTGCTGTTTTAGTTCTTCCTACTCAGAAACTTGGTGTATCTTGTCTGTAGCTCAGCCTCCTCAGTAATGCCCCTCTCTGTAGCTTCATGGTTTCCTTCATGTGGGCTGTGTGTCTTCCTTGATATATTTATTGCTAGGCGATTTATAGTTTCTGGTGTTGTAAATAGGATTTCCCCCTTTCCTTTAAGTTGGCCATTTTTGGTGTGGTAAGCTAATGTTTTTTAATTTTCTCGGTGATACTCCTTTTGTATGTATTCCCACCCGGTTGAAGCAGGTGGACTTGTGGGACTTGTTGCCTGAGGGGAGGGATCGATAGGGCAGACCCCATGGATGCCCTTGGATTTCTGGCCTTTTTGTTTCCAAAAGCCAAAACCACTGTTTCCATGTGCCTTTCCAAGATGGGTGTCCTGGCAGAGGGGGTGAGTCTGCGGAAGACTCATGGGTGGGTGGGAGAGAAAATGGGGTGCTGGTAAGGACTAAGGCTGGGGTACCCAGGGAGAGGCTCCATGCGGCTTCCTGGGCAGTGCTTCCCAAGGGTTTGAGACCTCAGGGTGTCACCATCATGTGTGAAGGCAGGAAGGCTACAGTTGGCCTCAGAACGGACAGGCTGTGACATGGCCCAGAAATGGGATGGAGTAAGGGCCGCAGATACGAGAAGACCATTTGGGAGCAACCTGTGTGCACTGGCCAGAGGCTGAGCACCATGGGAACCAAGGTGTGTGTCAACAGGTGTCTGAACAGATGAACTTGTCATCCTGTCCCCTCCATGACACAGCCCTGAGAAGGAAGATAAGGAACCCCCATTGACTGGGACATTAAGCTTCTTCCACCTGGTAAGAGGGACTGGTCTAGAGATAAAAGCTGTGAGGATGCTGGGTCTGAGTTTCCTGCCCAGCTGTTTGTGGGCTGTGTCGAATTCTTCTCTCCAGGGTACTGTCCAGCTTCTCAGCTGTAGACCTCAACCTGCCTGAGCCAGTGTAAGCAGGGGGTTTAACAGGGGAGGACTGCAGGCCTGGGGTCCAGCTGTGGCCTCCAGGAGACACTTGGGGCTTGCGGTGGAGCTGGTGCTGCCCTGGCTTGAGCCTGGGAGGCCTGTGCCCCCTACGAGGTGCTCCTTGGTCATGCTGCCGGATGTGTCTCCTGGCAGAGACCAGGTCCAAGCCTACATCCCAGGAGCTGGGGGGGCCGTGAGGTGGAGTTTCAGACTTCTACAAGGAGAAAGTGGGAGTCCCAGTGATTGAGGCCATCAGGAGCTGCGATGTGGATATTCCTGAATCCCATCTGAGCAGGCTCTCTTACATTTTTAAAGTGTATAGCCATATGATCTACGAAGAAAGACAATTTGGTCCCTTCTTTTCTAATGCTTATGTTGCTTAGGAGTTTTTCTTGCTATTGCATTTGCTGGGACCTACAAAATTATAGCTAAGCAGTAAGAGTGGCTGGGTGTTCTCTTAATGGAGGGTGTCTCATTTACACCATAAATTGACATTTGCTGTTGAATTTGAAAATTGGTTTTATTCAGCTTAGACTATTTATTTGTATTACAATTAGAGTTTTATTAGGAATGGCTGATGAATTTAAAAGAAATACTGTGGGGTAGAACCTCACAACTGTGTACTCACTCTAAGCTCCAGAGGCAGGTGGACAGACTTCTGTGGAAGGCAACTCTGTCGATGACCCGGTATCCCTGGTCAGCATAGAACAGGGCCTGGGGATTAGGGCATAAAAACCCATCTCCAGTGACTCTGGCCATGTGGCTGTTAAGCCTGCAAAGAAGGGGTTAAAAACCTTTCTGCAGAGACATAGCCTAGGGGTTGATAAGCGAAGAACTCATGTTTATCCTAAAACTATGCAGGCCTCCAGCTTGCCAGAGACAGAAGCCATAAATCTGCTTTCTGTAACACAATGAGTGCATAG